CAGTTTCTAACGGCTTTAAAAGCCAAAAATCCATCAAAGCACTACTAAATGAAAACATAAATTTGCAATTATTTAGCAAGCAACACACAAGACTTGTGGACCAATTCCAAGTGTCTGGTACAAAAAGATAGATGGTCTTAGCATCCTGCTGGCGAGGGAGCCGAGCATAAGCAAAGCTATCCAGGCTTCCCTCCCTCATGGAAATTACCCAGCGACTTATTACTACACGCCAAATGTCACAACTGTTGCAATATGGCTTTTTGGTTATCGACTATCAGACTTCAAAGCACCAATTCCAGAGTCAGGACGACACCAAACTGCAAGCATCATGTGATCTGCCATCCCAAGCACATCTATTTGCTCTGCTTATCGAGCAAGACGATAAAGTTAAGCACGTTTCACTTGCCTGTCCAAAAAGAGAAAGTAGAACTCGCCAAAAAACCGTTTTGGGTGTGCATTGTGCAGAATTCAAGCTCTGCAGCAGCATCAGTTAATCTTGCTGGGACATGAATTTTGCTGAACAATGTGGAACTACTGTAAATTCATAACCCTGTGGAACGTGAATAGTTATTCATTTTACAGACCAAGCAAGACTATGCAGGGCTGACAAACCTGACTGTACTGACAGACCTGTGAGTACATCTTTAGTCTTTCAGATTTACCTAAGTGAAGCTCGGCACAGTTTTTGCAGAAAGTGGTATATTCATTGGAAAAAAAATGTAACTGTACAGCAAATGTTTTGGAAGTTGAAATCTAATCCTGAGCATAGCTTTGGTCAAAAGAAATAAAGGAAATATTCTGAAAGTTTAAAGGGTTTATTTTTATATTTTCAAAACCAATTTTTTTTTAAGTTTTTTACTTTATTTGTTATATTCTGCTTTTAAATGGACACAAAAAAATAGAAAGAAACAAAAATCTGTAAATGAAATAAGTGGATTAGTCTGCTAAAAATGTCTTTTAGGCTAGACTACTTCTCATGTGTTCCTATTTTCCTTCAGCAAATACGATTTTTCAACCATGGATGAACCAGAAGAAATAAATCCTGGATTTCTGCTGTGGTCAGTGACCTTCCTAGCCCCCTCCTTCCACACCAAACCGTCACCAGAGCAGCTCTTCATGTATCTATGTCTGACAACAGTTCTACCAATAGTCTTCACAGTGGTCATCTGAGCAGTAGCCAATATAATATTTTAAGAGTCATTATTCTGTTTTCCACAACTAAACGAAGCCCTGCGTTCCTGACAGTTGGCATTTGTTTCTTTGCACCAACCTTGGATGTGCTACAAGGACAGCATAGTGTGTGAAAAAACACCACACTGTATGAAAAGCACCGTATCGTATATTGGTTTCTCTAACAGCATCTTATACGAAATAAAGATTACAAAAGATATCAGCAATTTTCTTATCACTCATCATGAAAAACATTTTTTGGACTGCTGCAAATACTCAATTGCATGTATTTTCATCATGCAGATAAGAAACAGATCAGGCTTTTAGCACTAAGTTCAACATCTTCACATAATTTAAGAATGCTTTTTCACATAAATTAGTTTTTTTTTTTTTTTAGTGCCTTAGTCTTATGGAGATGCTCTGTGAGAAATAAGAGACGATTTGCAATGTCCTCCAGCAAAAGAAAAGAACCAGGCTGTTGCATAAAATTTGCAGAAATCTTTAGTGCGAGTATTAGGACTTATCTAGAGGTTTTCTATATTCCTAATATAGACCTGCACAATTTAACCTACCTTCCACAACACATTTTCAAATAACATAGGCTATGATTTAGGTTTCTCTGGAGTTAGTTCAGCCCGAAACTAAACTGAGAGCTGTCTAGAACTCCTGCAACTTTCACTGCAGAGAAATGAACTGTTAATTTGCCACTGCTTCTTACCAAATTAGCAGTAGAAAAGGTCAAAGGATTCAGACAGCAAGAGAAATGCATCAATTAGAAGGCATGCAAAGGTAAGAGTGATTACGGGGACAGGAGGAACGCTTTTATCAGTTAATGGTAACAAATGTATCAGCAGATTCTGTTCATGCTGTTGGAAGAGCCTCATTAAGTGGTTTGCAGTTCTCGGGACAAAGTGTAACACGACGCAGAAAACTATTCCCTTTCCCTTGCAGGAGGCACTGGCCCACTATCTGGAAACACCTTTGTGCCAGAAAACAAGGAATCTATTCCAACAAAGCTAACAGCACCACTCGGGGACCTTGAAGATTCACGTGGAGAGTCTTAGGATGTTAGGAGACACCAGGCCAGCTTACCCGCTTTCCACTGAGTGAAGCTGCACGGGAAAGAAGCTAATCCCTTCAACTCCACAGTCCATTAAATAGGCAAGACCAAGGGATTGCAGAGCCTACTTTCACAGCTCTGTGACCAGGCATTAATATATTTGTTGGCTTAAAGGCCCAGACAGCTGTTGGTTTATGTTGTGGTTGGATGGTGGGGTTTTTTTTGGTTTTTGTTTTGTTTTTTAAACAAACTTAATTCAGATGTCTACTTATGATAAAAGCACTTTGCTTCGTAGGTGTGGGATTACTTAAAAATGTAAGTGGACTAAGCATTTTTCTTCTAAAACTTACTTTAGAAGGATCTTTCTGATGGTGAGGAAAAGCCCTTGTCTATCTTCTGCGCGTCTGTCTCATTAAAATGGCACGTCCCAGCTTAGAACGAGGATATGGCAGACAAGCTCCGAATACGGGTAAAATAAGGTTTAAGTGTTCATGCCTGTTCCAGTTTACACCATTTCCTCAGAATATATATGATGCTTACAGTACAGGCTGATAAAATCACTGATTGCCAGAGCAAGGTTGTAGGGCTCTTCGGAAGCCTCGACTGCAGAAACTCCATCCCTTGTCATGCTTTCTATTTCAAGCATGAATTTCACAACAATTAACCTCTAGGGTGTTTTGGCCAGGCAAAGCTGTTAAGTTTTTTTTTTTTTTTTTTAGCTGCACTGATTCTGCTGCTGTTTCTTTATTTCCCCCTTGTGTGTAGCATGTGCTTTTTCTTGTGACCAGGATCCTAGAGTTAGGCTAACCCTTCCGTAAACATACCACTAATATGGCATCATGTCATTTAAGACATTTAACCTCTGCATTTTCTTACCAAAACACATCTCTTGGTTTTGAATTGTATAAAGGGCATCGTTTAACTAATAATGAGAGGAGGAGAGTGCGGTCTGGTCTAAAGGGAAAGCAAAGGCTGGTACCTGATCATTATCTAAGAGCAAATTGCAGTCTCAGACAGCTTTACAAACTCAATAAATTAACCTTACAGCATCCCGTAATGAAGCCGTGTTCCAAGCTCACGCCTGGGGAAACAGCTTCCAAGAGTCAAATTATTCTCTCAGTTATCCTTCTGCAGCCCCACAGACTTCAAAGCTGTATGCAGACAACGACAGGCAAAGAAAGGCTCAGAAAGATGACTGGATTTGCCCAAGGCTATAGGACAATCAGCTAACACTGAAACCAGGATCCTGGTGCTCTTATCACTAGAATAAACACTAATTTTGACAGTTAAATACTTGAATAATGATGTACTATGGTAATATTCTCTACGTCATTAACAGTCACAATCATGTGTTCCTAAGGTACCTTTAGATTCAAGTATTTCACAGATGCAAAAACACTGAATAATTTTTCAAGTGAAAAATCTATTGACAAGGTGAAAGCAGATCAGGAAATGTTCACACTATACTTCGTGCTGCTAACTATTGGTCATGAATGTTCTTCCCCTTCTGAACTTATACCTACCCTGGCCGCTGACAGATAGCGGGCCACGGACTTTCTCATTCAAGACAATTCTTGAAACAATTTCACGTTCCTGTGATTCATACTAAACAGCCTGCATATTTCAGCTAAAACTTTTTCACTTTTCACTGCACTGCCGTAGAGAGATGAGATTAAAGAAGGGCAGAAACAAGTGAGTTCTCTTTCACGAGCTAGCTCAGAGAACATCTGCCAGCAAATTGAAACAGTCACGTGTAACTTTCATGTCCTTAGTCAATTTCAGCTTTCATACGCTCTCTCTGATCCTGAGAATTAATCCTTCTCTATTTTTTTTAACCATATAAAAATGCACATATTGCAATACTAAATTCACACGGTAATTAATGAGGAAGTTCTGCTGACACTTTACTCAAAAGGAGAAAAATCTGAGTTGTGAGCTTTCTGCAAAATCTCAAGAGGTGACTATTCTCTTCGGATCCTCAGCTAGAACTCAAATCAATTAAAAGTAAGTTTAGAAAAAAAGGAAAAAAACCCCCAAATTTTAATTGCTGTCACATTTTGTAGTTACCCTAAAATCAAGTAAAAGCAAGCAGGCAAACACGGCCCGCTCTTTGAAGATTATTGATATTAAAGAGGATTTCAAACTGACAGTTTTTTCATCTGTGAAAGTTATGACCTGATACACATATCACAAAAAATTCACCTGTACACAAAACTAAACTCCAGGGCACAGACGTAGCAGGCAAACTACTGAGAACAAGAGTTGTACTCCAGTTTTGCAAGGCATACAACATGAGGCAGTCGAGCGGCCTCATAAACCAGTGAGACTACTCACCTACACACAAGCATTTTGCTGGGTGAAATCTTCCAGCCAAATTTGTTAGCACACCAACCTTTCATGAGCAATTCCATTGTGCTGGGACAATTGCAGTGTCCACAAGCTAGTCCTTGCAGGCTTGGATAATCGCAAAATGAAGGCTAAATCTGCTCACTGCAATTGCATATAGTATGTTTAGTGAGTGCTTTCACCCCTCCGCACTGCAGGTAAAATTTGCAAGATGCAGAGCGTTTCACAGCAGTTAGGTTACTAATTTCACAGCTATACTTTTCAAGTCATTATCATTCCACGTTTCCCAATACAGTCTATTGACTCTATCTGTTTATGACCCATCTCCGCTCAGCTTCAGGCTTTTAAGTGGATACTTATACATAGTGTAGCTAGTGCTTAACAATCTTTCTACTAGTACAAGCAGTGAAGAAATGCAACTTACCTCCACTCTTAAGTAGGTGCTGCTCCTCCTCCTTCAGCCTGTTCTGCATAAGATGGAGTCTGTTGGCTGCTTCCTGTAAGAGGTGAAAACAACCGAATCAGAAAAGCTGCCACATTGCCCAGTCGAGTGGCTATTTGGATAGTCCTACAGCAGTTAAGGGCACTCACAGGCAGAGTGAGAATGGAAAATTTCAGCACTGAAAATGCCTTAGAAAAAAGGTCTTAACTGAAGCATGGGTGCTCCCGTGTACTTCGCCCATAAGGTCAGGATATAAAGAATATACCCAGAAAATCAACTGTATTCCCAGTGGCTGAAACCTCACTCATCTCATTGAAAACGGGTTCGGCTGTCTTCATCCCACAGAGAATTACTGCCATTACAGAATGAAGAGGACTTCCTGTGGAAAGCAGACTTTGGTAGTTGTTTTGAACTCCATTAAACCCCAGAAGTGGTTTTGAAATGACTGCTGCTTCGTAATACATAAACTAAAACAGAACAAATTCATACATTTCCACACATGCAAACAAAGTGGGAGGAAAAAGCCCACTTGTTATGCATTAGACGTATAGCCAAAATTGTATTTGGGTGTAAAAGCAAACCACTATAGCAACCCTGTGCAAAATAGTTTGTTGATTTCCTTTATTAAATGTAGCAGGCCTTTAGATAAAAATAGGCTGAGAAACACTATCGTATGTTGTACTATTGTATGTACAATACTATTGTATATTGTATCAGTTATGATACAGTCACGACATAAAGGGGGTTAAGAGCAAATGGAAACAGGTAGGTAGAACAGCGGTTGCTGTACTGAGTAAGAGAAGCAAATCACAACAATTCTCAACTCATTCAAACGAATTCCAGTGAAAATGGAAACCCTTACAAAGAAGCCTATAGAGACTTATAAAATCTAAATCTGGCAGAGATAACTTGAGTAAGATGTGCGTCTCTTAGACAGGAAAGGTGCAGAAATGGCAAGTATTATTTTGTATTTAGGAGCCTGATGAAAAGCTCAGAGGGAAGGAGTCAGGCTGATGGTAGCAGGGGCATCGGCAGTTAAGACAGACAGATGTTTCCATTCCAGCATAACAGATTAGGAAGAAAACATGCCCGCTGCCATAAACAATAACGGATGAGAGCAATTTTGGTCTTCTAGGATGTATGCACTTGCAGAGCATCACAAACAAGGACACTAAAGGTACTACTCGATTGCTAAGCGCCCCCAAGCAATTCTGGAAGGTGTTGCACTGGGTTCACGAAGTTCTCCAACCAGTTAGGACTAAAATCTAGCCAAGATATTAAGAGACGGAATTGTAGGGACTAGTGCTCCCCATGCCAGGGGCAGCAGGCAGGAAAATGTATTTTTTAATAACAGTAAGTTTAAATTAGCACAGTGTTAATGGTGAAAGCAGACTAGATGTGGATAAGCAGACAGACTGGATAAGACACAAATGCATACAATAAGATTAAGACAGAACATATGGCAAACAACTAATTGAAGAATTTATCCACTAATTTGCTCAAAATACTCTTGATTTTTAGTATCCTACAATTCCAGCCAAGCAAGACAAGCAGATGGGGACACTGTGGATTGAAAGTAGATTTTTCTTCTGGGCCTTTAATTTTTTAAGCAGAACCATACACAACTAGCAAGATAACAAACAAGTATACAATTAAAAATAATAAAACAACAGTTGCTCTGACAGGCCAACAATGGGTCATCGCTCTATATAAACTGTGCATTTGTGGAAAGGAAA